GCTCCTCGTTGATGAAGCACCTACACAGCTTGTCGGCGTAGTTCTGCTGGTGCAGCCACAGCTTCTTCGACGACCTGTCGCGCACGATCTCGAGCTCAAGGTACTTGACGACCGGCGAGATCTCAGGCAGCTTGAAGGCGGCCTCAAGCAGCTCCTTCAGCATCGCGGTGCTGCTGCTGGCGGCGAGCAGGTCGTCGACGTAGACCAGCACCCATTAGGTCACTCCGTCATCGCCGGCCTTGAAGTAGAGCGCCGTCTCGACCAGGCTCTTCTTCCAGCCAGCGCCCAGCAGCACATCGTCGAGAGCCCTGTACCATAGCAGCGGCAACTGCTTCATTCCGTAGAGGCTCTTCAGCAGCTTGCACACCCAGCCAGTCCCATCGTCGAAGTAGTCCGGCTCCAACATGTAGAGCACGGAGTCGAGCTTATTATGCACGAAAGCGTTCTTCATGTCGAGCTGCATCATGTTGAGGTCGAGGATGGCGACGATGGTGAGGAAGATCCTCGGTGTGACGTAGCTACTCATCGGCAAGTACGTCTCGTTGTAGTCGGCCTCGTACAGCTGCGTAAAGCCCTTCACAACGAGCCTCGCTTTATCGCGCTTGACGGTGTCGTCGATGCGGTACTTGGTCGTCAATGCCCATCAGTTATTCATTATGTTCACCCCGCGTGTCGCTCGACCGGCTCCCATGTGCCCATGCCGATAAGGCTGCGGATCTCCTCTTCCATGGAGGCCTTCACTGCCTCGCCCTTCCAGCTTGCTAGTGCCTCCTTCACTATCATCGTTGCGATCTCCCAGCGGTGTTCGGTGTCAGCATGCACGTCGGGTCGAGCTCGGCAGGTCGACGTCATCGTCGGCGTCATCGTACAGCAGGTTATCGTCGGTGTCGTCGTACACCGTGGTGAAGGCAGCTGGTGGTAGGCACGCGTGGAAGACCAGCAGCTCCACGGCTTCTGAGTTCATCCTATACGTCGCAGCTCAGGCTTCTCGATTGGAACTTCCCTGTCAGTGAACTCTTCTCCAGCCGACATCTCCTCTTCCTCGTCGAAGTCCACGTCATCAGCCAGTTGCTTCAACCCTTCGACCGGCTGCTCACCTTCTGCTGACTTCGACAGCTCCCCTGTCGATCGTCCCGGCTGCAGCTCCTTTGTCGATTGCCCCCCTGCTACTGCCTCCTCTTCGACCGGCTGCTCACCTTCTGCTGACTTCGACAGCTCCCCTGTCGATCGTCCCGGCTGCAGCTCCTTTGTTGATTGCCCCCCTGCTACTGCCTCCTCTTCGACCGGCTCCCTGTCTGCTGCTCCCCTGTCATCAACGGCTTCCCATCCTGGTTGACGAGCTTGGCACCTTGTCGGCTGTCGGCGATGCCACTGGCCGACGCAACAGGCGACGCCTCAATGCTCCCCTCATTGCTGGTGGCTGACACAAGTGTCGACGCGGACTGATCTGCGACAGGGGTGGGAGAAGCAAGAACAGGCAGCGGAGAATGAGCTTCCACGACATCCTCATCAGCAGGCTCGTCGACCTCGGCGAGCAGCAGGGCCGACGCCGTCAAGTTGTCTGTTGGCGGGTGTGCCTGCGTCCGACCCGTCGCCGTCCCATACTTCGCCTTCCACACCTCCAGCGACAGTGTCTCGAGAGGCGTCATCAAGGTCGGTGTAGAGAACTTGTCCGGTGTAGCGTGAGCACCTCCTCGGTCGCGGCAACGAGCAGCATCTCGTCGTCGTCGCCCTGCAGCTGCACTCCGCTCTCCTTCAGTTGGCCAGCTGACAGCAGTTTTGCATGCACTCTCGGAACGTAGAGGACGTCTGGAATGAGGACCCGCTTCCCGGCCTCCCCTTGCAGAGCGACGGTTCCACGACCCTCGAGAAGCTGCAATGCCCCATTAAATCGACGCATGTGCTTCACACCGTCGCTTGGAGCCATGTCGACGAAGACCGCCTTCGTCCCCATCGGGTGGTGGGAGCAACCGCTGTCAAGCAGCACTGCCATCGGGTTTGCGTGCACAACTGCCGCCACCGCCTGAAAGTCTTGCCAGCCTCCAGCGCCAGCGAGACTGTCGGCTCCACCACGCCGACCATCGAGCACAAAGCCTCCCCGTCGCCTCAGCCCTTGCCGCTGGAGTTGTCGGCGTCCTTCGTCGACGACGTTTTCTTTGACGTCTGCTTCTTCTTGCGCGGCTTCTCATCTCGACGGGGGCGACGGTTGGTCGACGGACCGCGGCCTCCCTCATTGTCGTCCTCGTCGCTGTCGTCGCGGTCAGGGCACTCGTAGGAAAGGTGGTCGGGGTCGTGGCAGATCCAGCACTCCCGTCATCGATCACAACCTCCACGACCCTTGCCGCGCGTCGACCTCTTCTCGTCGTCGTCCTTCGTCGACCGCCCACCTCCGCAACCACCTCCGCCCAGCTTCCCGCGTTGCTCCTGTTTACGATTCTGCTCTGCCTCCTGCATAGCCTCGTCTTGAATGATGTAGTTGGTGATGGAGTCCTCGTCGAGGGACTTACGCGTGCCGGGCACCATCATCATCCTCTTCTTGAGGTTGTAGCCACGCGGCAGGCCCTTGACGACGTGGGTGATGTAGGACGCCGTTGAGTATTCGGCGCCCGCCAAACGCATCTCTGCCAGGATCCGTTGAGCATGGTTGCAGTAGTCCATCGCCGAATTCCTGCTCGCCCATCCAAATGTGTGTCATCTGCTCCTCCAACTGTCCGATATACAGGTCGTCCTTTGCTTGGTACGTCGACAGGATGAAGTGCCATGCTTGGTGTCCAGCATCCAACCGCTTTCGATAGCTCCTGAGCGCTAGCTGCACCATCGGCGAGCAGCACCTCGAGATGACCATGAAGGTGAGCAAGTGAGCAGCACAAAACTCCCCGTGCAACTTGACATCCTCCTCGGGCGGAAAATAGCACGGTGCCGTCGGCGAAGCCCTTGGGCCCGGCGACCTCCAGCTGAGGTTCTATCAACTCCCTCCAGGTGATGAGGTCCCGTCGACCTTGCAGCAGTGTGACGGTGATTCGGTCTGGCCAAAATTTGAAATAGCCATACGCCGAGGCGATCACGCCTGCCGTCACGTGCGGCATCACCAAGAACCCTCCACCGCTTCATAGGGGAGAGCGACGTCGACCATCGATGTCACCATGCGAGCTGCATGCAGCTGCCGTCGACCGCTGCACTCACGCCTGACTCTTGTCGACGCCACCGTCGACCTTGATGACGCCTCTCTCCTTCATGCCATCGTTGCGGCTGACTTGTGCACTGCCGCCGACCTCGTAGTCTATGCCACCTTCGTTTCGTTTCGTTTCAGTCGGAAGGACAGGAAGGGTGCTCCGTCGCCCACTGCGCCCGGATGCCAAACTAGACGATCGCCCAGGGGATCGTCCCGTACTCGCCATTCTCAATGCGTTTTTGCGCATCAGATAGCTGCGACGGGCGGATGAAAATAAGGAGAATCAGAGAACCATGGTCATTCGAAGGACCAAGGGAATTCGGAGCACCAAGGTGATTCGGAGAGACAAGGGAATTCGGAGCACCAAGGTGTTTCTTGAGTTCATAAAAACAGAATGAATGTGGACAGCGATTGGAGTGGAAAGCTACAGGGCAGGGGATGTGAGAGAGGGTGTATGTGTGGAGGAGACGAGGAACAAGAAGACATGGGGCATACAAGGGCATATGCATGCGTCGTCCCAAGAATATGTGATTGGAGATTTGCAGAAATGTGTGGTGTGGAGCGGCGGGCACTAGGAGTGAGGGAGAGAGTCATTCCAGTGGCGGCAAGTGGGAGTGGGAGAGAGGGTCATGGCACTGACAGGTACTCGAGCTGCACCAAGCTGCCCATTTCTGGGGGAATGTTGTCTGTGAGCATGTTGAGTGCAAGGTAACTGCAGGGGGGAGTGAGTGATTACATTACATGTTCGCACAGGAACACAACATGAGATGCAGGGGTGGTTTTAGGAGAGAAGGAGACGACTAGAGCACAAATGAGCACACAAGTAAGTCAAAACCCGATCGTTTTCTACCCTGAGGGCCAAGACAGGCAGACAAGAAGGCAACAATGCCCTTTCACGAAGCAAAGCCTACGGGATGCTCGCACGCCTGGGGCTGCTCCGCTAGGGACGTCTGTGTTGGCAATAACTGGCACACTTACAGATTTTGGAGGGCCGTTAGGGCGCCTATTCCCTGGGGAATGGCACCAGAGAGCTGGTTGTAGGATAGATGTCTGCGATGGGGGACATGCGGGATGGAGGTCTGTGGAGTGGAGGCACTCTTAGGGGTATTTTGTTCACACGTGAGGTTAGGGTGTGGTGACGGCGAGGAAGTGAGGGAGGCAGGCATGGAAGTGTGACATGCGAGGGCGGCATGGGAGTGAAATGAGAATGAGGAGTGCTGAGTGCTGCTAGGGTAGGCTGTGAAGGCGCATGAACGCGCATGTTGAGAGCAAGCAGAGAGGATGCAGAGGGTTTAGGGTGATGAGTCATGAGATGTGGGAGGCGATGGTGTGATGTGCGAAGAGGCGAGGTGACACATGGGAGCACGTGAAGGTGCATATGCATGTGTTCAAAGCATCCAAGCATGATGCGAGGCGCGGATGGAATGGTGCCCGCACAGGCCTGTGAGGGCAATCATGTGTGAGATGGCATTCGGAATAGCCTCTCCGAGCTCGTTGGACTGCAGATCACTGCCATTCAGACAACACAGGATGGAGAGAGGAGAGAGGGAGAGAGGGGGCGATAGAGAGGGGGATAAAGAGGGAGAGGCAAAGACCGCTTGAGAGAAAGGGGGTAGGAAGGAACACGCGAGAAGTGCAACGGGAGAACGAGGGATACCGGATAGAGCTCCAGGGTGCAGGCAGGTGAGGAGTGCAGAAGATGGCCGCGATTCATGTGTGCACTGCACTGCACAGTACCGTTGAGGGTCAACCCCCAAGAATCAGGTTAAACAAGGGCGAATAGCACCGCATGAATGCACACAAGGTGAAGAAGAGATCAACCGACGCAATGCCAGGGGCGATGAGTGAAAGGATCCTCTCACCATGCCCACCATACACAAACAGATCTGCATGCACGTTCAACCTTCCTCCCCTCCTCCCTCCCTCACTCCCTCGCTCCCTCCCTCAATCGCTCCCTCCCTCCTTCCCTCGCTCCCTCCCTCAATCACTCCCTCCCTCCTTCCCTCGCTCCCTCCCTCAATCGCTCCCTCCGTCCTTCCCTCGCTCCCTCCCTCCCTCCCTTCCTCCCTCCCTCCTTCCCTCCCTCCCTCCCTCCCTCCCTCCCTCCCTCCCTCCCTCCCTCCCTCCCTCCCTCGCTCCCTCCCTCGCTCCCTCCCTCCCTCGCTCCCTCCCTCCCTCCCTCGCTCCCTCCCTCACTCCCTCCCTCCCTCCCTCCCTCCCTCCCTCCCCCCCTCCCTCGCTCCCTCCCTCCCTCTCCCCCTCCCCCCCTCCCTCCCTCCCTCCCTCCCTCCCTCCCTCCCTCCCTTCCTCCCTCCCTCCCTCCCTCCCTCCCTTCCTCCCTCCCTCCCTCCCTCCCTCCCTCCCTTGGTACTTGTGTCCGCCTGTTTCTCATAGGTGTGCGAGCGAGGCAAGTGCGCTGAAGGATGCCGGGATGGGCCCGTCCAGGACGTTGTAGCTCATGGTGCTGCATGCGTGGCAGCACGGCACTCACACGTGAAGGATGAGCACCACGGGTGAGAATTGTGGGGGTGAAGAGGGGATGCGGGTGGATAGATGACAGCACAGGAATAGGGCCCTACAGGGCGTTGTAGCAGAGGGTTCTGTGCGGGATGCAGCACAACACACAGAAGAAGGGATGAGCACCACAGGTGAGAATGGGGGAAGGGGGGTGGAGGGGGTGGGTTGGGTGGAAGAGGCTTATGAGGCGCCTGGAAAGATTCGGGTATTGCAGCAGAGGTTGTAGCACAGGATGTGGCAAAGAACAGAGAGGGTGGAAAGGGACAGCGAGTGAGGATGGATCATGGAGTCGCACACGACAAATACGAAGCAGATGGTGAGGAGAGACACATACAGAGCGGTTACACAGGCGTACAGAATGGTGAGACAGGCGTACAGAGCGGTGAAACAGGCGTACAGAGAGGTGAGAGAGGTGAGAGTGCCAAGAGCTGTTGGAATGAAGCCCAGTAGACCTTCGCTTTCCAGCCACCTGTTGTCTTGTGTTGAGCGCACACATACACATGCACATGCACATGCACACATGCACACATGCACATGCACAAGCACACATGCACATGCACATGCACACATGCACAAGCACACATGCACATGCACACATGCACATGCACATGCACATGCACACATGCACATGCACATGCACACATGCGCACGTGTGTGCGCACATGCACACACACACACACACGCACGCACGCACGCATGCACGCACACAAACACACACACACAAACAGACACACACGCACGCATGCACTCACACAAACACACACACACACACACACACACACACACACACACACACACACAGAGCAGCAGAGCAGGAGCAGAAGAGTGAAGAACAGTCATAGCACGCTGACAGCATGTCAGTTTCTTCTGTGGCCCACTGCACCCTCTCCTCCGCCCCATCCTCCACCGCCGTTACAACCACCACGCTGCCATTTCCCATTCCATCCATACCCCTCCCTCCCTCCCGCTCTTCCCCTGTCCCCTACTTCTTCCCACCATGTTGGCGCACATGCGAGTGACGAGCCCGCTGTCATTGCAGGTGATGAACTGCGCCGCATCACACTCGCCCCCCACCTGCCACTCGCTCGCCGACAAGCCCCATGCTGCAGCGCACTCCGCCAGCACCGCCGGTGCCAGGGGTGCGTGGAAGGGGGACGTGGGGATGGGGCACGAGGGGGAGGAGACGAGGCCGAGGGGAGGGAGAGGCAAGAGGGAGGGAGAGGGTTAAGTTGGCGGCTGAACGGGCGGCCATGTTGCAGGGCACGGCAGCCCCAGGAAGAGTAGCTAGGGAGCAGAGCAGCGATGGCTTGACTTGGATTAGTATATGTTGGACCAAGCGGGGGACTGCCAGTCTAGGGCATGACAGGGAGGAGGGGCAGGGATTGGGGGAGGAGAGAGCAGAGGGGGAGGTTGGGGAGTGGAAGAACAAGAGGGGGAGGGGAGAACAAGAGGGAGAGTGGAATACAGATGCGGCTGGAGGGAAAGGAAGCATATCAGCGGTAAGGCAGGAGCTGTGGATGGGGTACAGTGGGGGAGAGGGGGCGAGAGAGGAGGGGAATGGGAGAGTTAACAAGCGGGATGGAGAAGAGAGGAGTGGGGTAGAGCGGGGAGAGTGGGAGGCGAGGAGAGATGCAGGTAGGGGGGAGTGAAAGCGACCTTGGGCATCGTTGATGTGAGTGGCGGCAGTAGGGCACGGCAGCAGAAGCAGAAGCAGCCCCGCCGCACCCACCAGCAGCAGTGGCGGCGGCGGAGGGAAGGAGAAGCTGCGCCGGTCGCCCATAACTCCCCAGAAAGATCTTCCTTTGGCAGGAAGGACGGAGCGCGGAACTGAGGAGCAACCAGAGTCCTTGTGAGGGTAAAGGACTGGTGTGGACAGAGGCTGGTGCCGCGGCAGGGCGGTCACGCTGGTGTCACCAACTCACGTTGGTGCGAAGTTCGCACTCGCGGTGAAAACTTGACTACGCGAAACGTGTTGGCGGACACAGAATCAACACGACTAGGGAGGTCTGGTAAAGCTCGGCTCGACTTGAAGGTCACTGTGTTACTTGGCAACGCCGCAATTCGCTTGCACATATTAAGACGTGGATGATGTTCATCTCCTTGCAGAAGGCTTCGTAAGGAGCTGAGCTCTACTGCTAGATAAAGAAGCGAGAGGCAGGCTGGAACTCGAAAATCCAGCCTCCATTCTTTTCCGCGATGCTGCAGTGCAAGATTCCGAGTCTTGCCAACTCTAAAAGACCTGGATTCATAGTCACAAAAAAATTACAAAGAAGTCACTGAAGTCTTCTCGATAAGACTTGCCACAGCAGACAAGCCGTGAGAACCTACGATGGTAGTGGTAGCGTGTCCGACGCAAACGTCGCGACACTTGTCAACCTTTGATGAGCGCCGAGCCGCGGTGTGCGTGTGACGCGACGAGCTGCACCTTCACGCGGGGAAGGTCGCAGCTCCGCGTGACGCTTCGGCAACTGTCAGATTATGAATGAGTGGAAACGGGAGCAGACCATTGTACTGCAAACGAATCGTACAGCTCAGCTCGACACCACCTCTTTGTGTCACGCTCTCCCTCGTGATTCTTCTCTCCCTGTGCACGGGTGCAGTTCACGCGGCTCTGCGCACATGCATTCACCCAAGCACTGGACTCGGCTCTTCTTGCTCAGCTTCGAACTGCACGAGGAAACGAACAACCAAGAATTGAGATGGGAGTGACGAACGAGTCTGCTCCTTGTCAGCATCTTGGCCTTGGCTTTTTTCGCAAGCGCTCTTGAGAAACCCTCCCAAAAGGCTTGGGGGGTCGACAAGCTGGCGAAATCTTTTGACACAAATGGTGCGGATGGCAACGGATTCGAGAACCACCCTTTTCCAACTTCCAGAATGGAGCGGTTGAAAGATGTTGGTTTGGTTTGGAGCAGTTGAAAGCTCTTGGTTCGGTGCGGATGACGAGGGGAAGAGAAATGAGGGCTTCTAGAAGAGAGGTATGAATATAAGGGCCCAGTTCCGCTGACGTTTCGGGCGTTTGAGCATTTTTAAAGCTGCGGTCTACACTCTAAAAAGGATTTCCGGGGGGTAATCTAAGTGCACACCCTTTGGCGCACGATGATTGGAGAGAGAATTGAACTTCGTCCTCAAACACCCGCGCGAGGAAATCATGAACCGCTGGCGAAGACAAACAATCTCGTCAGCTGGTTTGCTTGGGGGAAGCAATAGGCGGAACGGCGGAAAATACTGCGCCCAACACATACAACCAAGCGGAGTAGATCGATAGCCCTCCTTGTTAAGAATTGAGATAAGGACAAAAGAGTATGATTGCACACTAGAATAAGACAAGAGTGAACAGTAGAACTGTAGCATATGAGGATGAGTTTGATAAGAGCGAAGATGATAGAACTTATTACTAAAAAGAGAAACTTGTGTAGAGTGGAATGCTTGATGAGATAAGGACTCAAAAGAGAAGAAGAGTGTGAGCTTGTTGAGAGAATGAGAGAGGTGATAAACACTTGGTTGAGAGATGAATCTTACTAGGGATAGTTGTAGAGGTGACTTGAAAGAATGGCTTGGTCTTGGGAGCTTTACTTGAAGAAGAACATCAAGCTTGGTGTTGGGTGGTGAGCCTTCCTCAAGTTTGTAGGTAGTAATGAACCTTATACTCAAGTAGAGTATGAGGTGACTATTCTTCCCTTGATGCTTAGCTTTGTAAACTAATAAGAGAGACTTTGTGAGCATAAACTTATATTGAAAGAGGTATAGTACAAGCCTTATAAATCCATGAGGGGTACATAGGCATGCATAGGAAGAGTTACCATCAATGGTAGCCTTGGAATAGAGTAGCATGAAAGTATCAACTTTGGAGACATTGAACTTGGTTGCTAGTGAGGAGCCTTTGTAGTAGAAGAGAAGCTTGAAGGAGAAGCTTGGGAAGGAGCATGAAGAGGAGCTTGATGAAGAAGCTTGAGAGACATTTTTGTCATTGAAGAACCTTCTTGAGAAATTGTAGAGTTGCTTGTTGGAGTTGAATAGTAGTAGAGCATGTGATGGTAGTTGAGCACTAGATGAGTTGGAGTTGTAGGTCTTGTGGTGTTGGATGAGAAATTGGGTGACTTGTGAAGAGATGAATGGACGAGATAGGATAGCTTTGGTGTCTTGGAAGAGGAGGTGAGGTGGTAATCATAAATCCTCAGGAGATGAGTTGGCAACTTTGATGACTTGGGAAAGGAAAGAAGGAAGGAATAAATGTGAGGCATGTGGAGGTTGATGCCTAGGAATTGGATGCATGTGCTTGAAGGCACATGGAGGTAGGAATATTGGAAGAGGTAGATGACTTGGGTAATATTTGGTGAGTAAGGAAAGAAAGCAGATGGAAAACCATGAGGAGTCATGCGCCTTATGGTGGGACTTGGAGGTTAATAGGAGAAGCTGTTGGGAATCTGGTTGAGTTGGATTAGGAAGGGCTATGGTGGTTGAAGATAGTTAAGGAGGAGTTGGTGGGCTTGGCTTGGACAAGATGAGTTGGAAAAGGAAAGTCTTGGTGGTTGGGTAATTTGAATGGGTTTGGAGGGGTTGGGTAACTTTGGGAAAGTAGGAAGGAAAGTTACGAGAATGTTTTGAGGGGAAGGGGTTGGAGTGCCAAAGTGGGTAGCACGTGATGCGTGTGCCATCACAACACTCCCCCTCACTGCAAACCCGTACCCTCAAATCCGACTGCTGGGACTAACCCGGCTTGAACTCGGTTGTTGATGAAGATGTCACGTGCAACGACCTTGGTGAGGAAATCAGCCGCTTGCTCGCTCGTGCGGCAAAACAGGGGCTCAGCGATTTTCTGCTCCACAAGCTCTCGAACGTAGTGATACTGCGTCGCGATGTGCTTAATCCTCCCATGGAAGACTGGGTTCTTGGTGAGAGCGATCGTCGACGTGTTGTCGATGAAGATGGGAGTAGGGCTCTCTTGTGGGAGGTCAAGCTCCTTCAAAAGACCTCTTATCCACACTGCTTCTCGGGCTCCTTGGGTTGCAGCCATGTACTTTGCATCCGTGGTTGATAAAGCCACACAACTCTGCTTCTTTGACTGCCAAGAGATGGCTGCCCCTCCAAGCATGAAGATGTATCCTCCAGTGGACCTGCGGGTAGGGATATCCCCGGCTCAATTTGCATCCGTGAAGCCATACAGCATGCTTGCACCCTCAAACCCTTGAAAGAGGAGACCAAAGGAAGAGGATGATTTGAGATAGCGCAAGGCACGAAGTGCCCCACGCTGATGCATGCGAGTGGGTGATGTCATGCATTGAGAGAGCATGGCAACAGTATGGGCGAGATCGGGACAGGTGCAAATGGAGGCGTATATAAGGCTGCCCACTTGGCTCTGGTAGAGTGAGAGCTCAAGGGGTGTGATGTTGGATGTGGACTGTGGTGCATAGGTGTCATGACCAATGTCCTCAGGAGACTCAAGGCTCTCGACCTCACCCTCAAGCTCAGTGACCTCTGACTCAACAGTGGAAGGGTCAATGCTTTACTCGTGTGAGCTCAGCATGAAGGCCGAGGGGAGTGGGGTCTCAACTGGGTTGCAGTCAAGGAGACCAAACCTTGAAAGTACCTTCTCAGTGTACCTCTACTTTGAGATGAAAAGTGACTTGGTGGTGCGGTCCCTCACGATGTTCATACCAAGGTAGTGTGAGGGCTCACCCATGTCAGTCATGAATCTTCGATCGTTCCCCGTGGCATGGGCATGTGTCTGTCACTGGAAGGGTCAGTCCCAAGCGGAAACCCAGGGCTATTGCATATTGTCCCAGCGAAAATGTCAGGTCCCCTCTCGTAGGGATGGCGTGTAGCTAATCCCCTGCTCCTTCTCCCTGCAGGCTGATTAAGCGGATCACATGGCCGTTGTCCTCTCCCAGTTTATCCACCCGAGTATCGCCCAATAGTTCTGCTGCCCAGTCCTGGTTGATGTGCTTGGAGAGAGCTCCTGTAGTTGCCCCTTCCCTCCATTTTCCCGGCTGAATCCCTTAAGTAGCTCCTGTGCCGCCCCAGGGAGCCTGTTCCGCATATCCTGTAGCGTTGTTCTGCTGCCCACCGCTGCCCCTTCCCCCTGTGGCGAGACCAGCTCCCCTACACGTTGCAACGGATGATCTGGCGTGGCCGAAACCTGCTGCAAGAGGGTCTGGGCTGCATGTAGTGAAGCTAGGTATGCCGCTGGTGCCTCTGACAGTGGGTCGATGAGCCCTAAACCTCCTAGCGCCACCGGCAAAGTCGCCTGTCTCCATACCAGGCTTTGCTCGAGTTCCTTTGTTGGTCTGTGCAGGTGGGCCGCCTTGAGGTCCGTCCAAAGTAGCCGCTCACTCCACTCTCTCCATTCTCTGAGCAGTAGCGCGTCTGCATGTGTGGTACGCAAGAGGTAGGACGCCCGGCGGGAGATGCACCGCGACAGCAGCAGCATTGCGTGTTGTGGGTGAAGGCGGCCGATAAGGCCGAGTGGTGTAGACATGGTCCCTAGCATGCTCTTGATAAACCGCCTGCAGAACGCCAACGTTCCCACCGGGCTCCTTAGAACTCGTGTACCGTCCACAGCCGCTACCAGTCCGTCTGGCAAGGTATCCGAGCTCCCCGAGGGGCTCCACGCGGATGATTTGGTGAGGTTACACCTCAGGCCGTGACCGCT